CTGAGGGACAGCGCCCAGGCCCAGAGTTCAGGCCCCATGACCAGACCCTGGAAAAAAAAAAAATTTAACTGACAGGCTGGGAAGGTGGCTCAGTGGTAGAGCACTTGCCTTGCATGCCTGAGGCCCTGAGTTCGATTCCTCAGCACCTCATAAGCAAAAAATAAAAAGCCGGAAGTGGCTCAAGTGGTAGAGCACTAGCTTTGAGCTGAAGAGCTGAGGGACAGTGCCCAGGCCCAGAGTTCAGGCCCAAGACCGGACCTCCCCCTCCCCCAAAAAATAATTTAACTGAGGCAGGGTGCCAGTGGTTTACATCTGTAATCCTAGCTACTGAGGAGGCTAAGATCTGAGGATCAAGGTTCAAAGCCAGCCGGGGAAGGAAAGTCCTTGAGACTGTTATCTCCAATTAACCACCAGAAAACTGGAAGTGGTGCTGTGGCTCAAGTGCTGGAAAGCTCACCTTGAGCTGAAGACCTGAGGGACAGCAACCAGGCCCAGAGTTCAAGCCCCACGACTGACTGACCAAACCAACAAAATTTAACTGAAATACTTTTAAGTACACATCAACATTTGGTCATTTGTCAATATCCTGGTTTATATATGCCCATAAACTGTCCAGGACACCATGGAAACAAAAGATGCTCACAAGTAAATTCATGCTTAGACATGTAGAGTGCTAACGGAACCTCAGTTTGCCTTCTTTACTGAAGGTCAGTAACTGATGCCTAAATCAACATCTGTTCCACAAATTGTCCACCAGAGGGCACAAGCAGCTAGCACATCCTTCCTGATAAGGAAAAGGGGCTGAGAAGGTTGGATACAAACTTACTTTACAAAAATCAGTGATTTTTCTAAATGACCAGTCACTAACTTAAAACATAAAGACAAATTTCACAATAGCAGCTAAAGCTATGAAGAATTGGTAGTGACCTAATAATGTATAGGAGCCGGGAGCCAGTGGCTGTGTCTGTAATCCTACCTCCTTAGGAGGCAGGCTGAGATCTGAGAAGCAAGGTTCAAAATCTGCCTGGGCAGGAAAATCCATGAGACATTTATCCCCAATTTACCACTAGAAAACCAGAAGTGGCGCTGTGGTTCAAGTGGTAGAGTGCTCGCCTTGAGCTGAAGGGCTGAGGGACAGTGCCCAGGCCCAGAGTTCAGGCCCCACTACCAACAAAAACAAACAAACAAAAAAGCTGAACACCAATTTGACTAGATCTTGGATTCTAGGTTCAAAGCCTCTGAGGAAGGCTTTCTTTTTTTGGGTCGTGGTACTTGAACTCGGCCTGGGTACTGTCCCTTACAAAGACTACCTCTTTAAGATGACTGAAAAATATAAAGACAACCTACGTGGAGAGATCCTATCACTTCTGCGTTGGGTGATGTCACTATAGAAGACACCATTGATCTATATACTGTCCTAGCCTAAATCACAGCTAATTTTTTTTTTTTTGGTCAGTTGTGGGTTTGAGCTCTGGGCTTGGATGCTGTCCCTCAGCTCTTCAGGCTAGCACTCTACCACTTGAGCCACAGCACCACTTCCAGCTTTTTCTGCTTATGTGGTGCTGAGGAATTGAACCCAGGACCTCATACACGCAAGGCAAGCACTCTACAACTAAGCCACCTTCCCAGCCCCTACAGCTGAATGTTTTAAGGAAACGAAAAATAAAAAGGTTTATGAGGAAAAGTGAAGACCCTGAAATAACTGGCCCAATTTTAAAAAGAAGACAAAAAGGAAGATTCACAATAAACAAACGTAGATTTCCTACAAGCCTAGTTTTAGGAAGCCATATGCAGAGGCAGAGAGACCCAAAGGCAGCAGCCAAGGCCCTTGTCCTATGGAAAGAGGTGACACCAAGCAAGGAATAAGCATTTAGTTGATGGTCTAGCTGAACAAAACTAGAAAAATTAAGACTGGCGTTAGACTACTACCTTAAACCTTAATCCAAAGATTTAAAATAAACGGTAAAATGGGAACACTATTAGTGAAACCCTAATGGGAAAGAAGGAAGAAAAGGAAGGGAAGGAAGAAGGAAGGGGAAGAAGGGAAAAAGCAAGCCAACTAGAAGATTAAGGAGGAAATTTTATAGTGTTTTTCAACCTTTTTTCCTCCTTTTGGAGATACTGGGGTTTGACTTAAGAGGCTCATGCTTGCTAAGCTGGTGTTCTACCACTTGAACCACACTTCAAACCCTGCTTTTTGCTGATTATTTGGAGATGGAGCCTGGATTTTTCTCCCTAGACTGGCTTTGAATCAAGATACTTCAGGTCTCAGATTCCTGAGTAGCCAGTGGTTCTCAGCTGATTTTTTTTTTTTTTTGGGTCTGGTCATGGGGCCCGAACTCTGGGCCTGGGCACTGACCCTCAGCTCTTCAGCTCAAGGCTAGCACTCTACCACTTGAGCCATAGCGCCACTTTGGGCTTTTTTCTTTTTGCTTATGTAGTGCTGAGGAATCGAACCCAGGGCCTCAGGCATGCAAGGCAAGCACTCTACCACTGAGCCACCTCCCCAGCCCCATTTTTTTTCCCCAGGGCTGAGGACCGAACCCAGGGCCTTGTGCACGCCGGGCGGGCGCCCTTCTGCTGGGCTAAACCCCCAGTGATTTTTATTAATAGCACTAGAATGTCTAGAACTCCATGAAGGCAAGAACTTTTTCATGGGTGTACAACTAGCAATTAGAAGACAGCCTGGGACAGTCAATGGTCAATAAATCTATGTATCATCAATAAATGGAGGACATATAGATTTTTTTTGTTTGTTTGGTCATGAGGCTTGAACTCTGGTCTTGGGGCACTATCCCTCAGCTCTTCAGCTCAAGGCGAGCGCTCTACCGCTTGAGCCACATCACCACTTCTGGTTTTCTAGTGGTTTATTGGAGATAAGAGTCTCATGACTTTCCTGCCTGGGCTGGCTTTGAACCGTGATCCTTAGATCTCAGCCTCCTGAGTAGCTAGGATTACAGGTGTGAGCCACTAGACCCGGCACATATAGTTTTTTAAGAGGAGAGGAAGGCAAGAATATGGAAAAATAAACAAAGAAGGACAAAACTTGGACATGTAATGTTATGTCATAACTGGTCCAGAAAAATAATTACCATTTAGGCCATAGTGACTCATATCTGTAATCTTAGCTATTCAGAAGGCTGAGATCTGAGGACCGAAGTTCAAAGACAGCCCAGTCAGGTAAGTCTGTGAGACCCTTATCTCCAATTAACCACCAAAAAACCAGAGTGGAGCTGTGGCTCAAATGGTGGAACATCAGCCTTGAGTAAAAAAGCTGAGACAATGCCTAGGCCCTAAGTTCAAGTCCCAGTATATCATTCATAAAGAATATGTTAAACTGGGCGCCGGTGACTCACGCCTGTAATCCTAGCTACTCAGGAGGCTGAGATCCGAGGATCGTGGTTTAAAGCCAGCCCCGCAGGGAACTCCGTGAAACTCTATCTCCAATAAACCACCAGAAAACCGGAAGTGGCACTGTAGCTCAAGTGGTGGAGAGCTAGCCTTGAGCTGAAGAGCGCAGAGACAGCGCTCAGGCCCAGAGTTCAAGCCCCACGACCGACAAACCAACCAACCAACCAAACAAACAAAAAGAATATGTTAAGAGTGGCAAAATGTTTTTTAGGATAACACATTTAGTATTCAGAATCTTCCAATGCTGGTATTATTCCCATCATAGCTAATATAGTTTTCTATGGATGAGTACTGTGCTGGGTGCCTTACTATATATTTAGTTCAGTTAATTCTCAAAATGGCCATATAGGAAAAGTACTATTGCTGCCATTTGGCTAAAGAATAACTGAGGAGATGGTTTTATTTCTTTATTTTTATTATTATATACTTTTTTGCTGGGCCTGGGACCTCGGTGCTGTCCTGAATTTCTTTGGCTCAAAGATAGTGCTCCATTTCCCGCCAACTTTTGTGTTTATTGGAAACAAAGAACCCTACGGGCTTTTGGCCTGAGCTGGCTTCGAACCGCGATCTCAGCCTCCTGGAGAGCGAGGATTACAGGCGTGAGCCACCAGCGCCCGGCAGAAAGAGACAGTTTTAAATCCGGATGGTATCAGTGGTGATACCAGTGTCTCATAACAAAACAAAAGTAGAATTAAAAGCTCTAATTGCCCCCCCCCAAAAAAATTCTCTCGAATTGCAGTGGCTGTATTTCCACGGCTAGAAGTTACGGTGAAAGCGAGGCTTCCGGGCGGAAGGAGTAACTGGCTGCCCAGGGCCTGCAGGGGCCGGTAAACCGCTGCCAGCTTCAGGTAGGTTCGGGATCGCCGAGGCTGCCGGGAACCGGGCGGCGGCCCGCCCCGCCCCCACGGGCCCGCCCCAGTGCCGCGCTTGGATTTCGGTGGGAACAAAGCGTCTCTTCTTTCTCACCCTCGTTGTCCCCTACCTTACCTCCCGGTGGCGACCAGCTTTTGGAGAAAGGTATCCACCATGGTATCGAGGAGTTTTACCCTCGAAATGGGTGTGCCGGATTCTGGAGGTGATTCCTCAGACTTTTCTTCCACTCCCGTTGTCGGATCGGCGTTGCTCGCTTCAGCCATGTTGAAGTCGAACCGCCAAATCGAACTGAGCTGCCTGTTCCGCCCACCTGATCCCTTGATTGGCTGATCCTAAATTTCGCGCTTGTGATTGGGGCCAGTAGAACGTCTGTCTGTGCCGGAAGGAGGCAGGCAGTGCCGCTGGGTCCAGGGAAGATGAGAGGTACCGCGTTAGCCGCTTGGAAAAATGTGCACAAACTGAAGCTCAGGGTCTCCATAAAAACTTTTAATTACACTTCAGACTTAATACAGTGCAACAGTGAATATTCGGTAATATTCACATTTATCACTTGACCAAATGTTGAGTTTGATTTCCATTCCCCTGTCCCTCAATACTCTAGTCACATTTCCTGTATGGCCCAGTCGCCTGATGGGATGTATTCACCAATACTTTCAGCTGCGTTGGTCTCCAGTTTTGAGAAAACATAAGTGGCCCATCGTCCCATTCTCACCAAGAACTGTTTGAAACCAATTCCCTGTCCCTAAACAAGACAAAGTAGGGAATTTAGTTTGTATTCACATCATACAAACTGGAGATGGGAGAAGAGAGGAAGAGGGCAAGAGAGAATAAAAATTGAAATCCTCTAAAAGAAAATGAAGGATAGGATCTAGGAGGGAGAGATATATAAGGGCATGACTAACTCCTGCTCAAACTCTACCCAACATGTCACAGTAGGGAAAGATTTAAGGTATAAGTCTCTAGAGAGAGTAGGCATGGAGCTGGGAAAACCAATTTTCAATGTTCTTGCTACAGGTTGGCCCTAGTAATAAAGCACTTACCTAACAAGCGTAAGATGCAAGGTTCAAACCCTAATATAGCCACATATGCAAAAAAAAAAAAAAGTCTCTAGCCAGGTGCTGGTAGCTCATGCCTATGGTTCACAGCTGTAATCCTACTCAGGAGGCTTAGATCTAGAATCAAGGTTCAAGGCCAGCTAGGGCACAGATGTTCACTAGACTCCATCTCCAAATCAGTAGAAAGTAGGGCTGGATGTGTGGTTCAAATGTTATGAGTGCCAGCCTATCAAGCACAAAGTCCTTAGTTCAAATTCCAGTGGAGCAATAAAATCTTATTAACAGAAACTTGAGAGAGGAGCCCTTGCTTCCATTGTATTGGTGGTTCTTATAGTAAAGAGGTAGATGAGGGACAGGGAAAATTCAGAATGATTAGTGGATTCAATCTTCTGGGGCCACAATTGGAGGACTCTCTTGACAAAGTGTAGGAAGAACATGGAAAATTAAAAAAAAAGATACTTAAAGAATCCTTACATGTAGAGAAATATACTCTCCAGATTCTGATCTGGCCAGGATGGAAAAATATGGAGCAGCCTATTATATCATGGCCTCATGGCCTGGTAGCTAGCTAGCACCTTTCAAATTGGCACCATGACTTTTCCTATAGGGTAGGATCATTTAAAAGGTTTAATGTAGGAAGTCGTGCTGTGGCTCAAGTGGTAGGGCACTAGCCTTCAGCTGAAGAGCTGAGGGATAGCACCCAGGTCCAGAGTTCAGGCCCCACAACTGAAAAAAAAAAAAAAGCATAAAAGTTTTAATGTATCACCCAGGCTACATCTAGTAGAAAGGTGGGGTTTGACTTCCCCCTTTTCATTGCATTAGCTGCAGCTCTACAGCACAGGCTTGATGGAGTCTGAGGTGGGGAAGAACCAAACAGAGAAGGAGCACTATCTCTTAATTCCAAAGGAGAGTGCTTCAACAGGTAATCTCGGCAGTATCAGGCTGGTAAATGCAGCGGTCCTGGATTGGGTGACTTCCCAAACTGTTCTTTATTGTCTTGCGAGCATAAGGTACCATGACTGAGACGACTCTTCACATCCAGAGAGAAGAAAAACAAACATTTGGTATCTCAGAGATTCACATTGTAAGACAAAAATCTGTTGCTGTTGAGTCTGAGTGACTGGGGTATGTATGTTTGTCATGGCTGCCTAGGGCTGGGAACCTCTACTGCCCTCTCCTGGTCCTGGCTCAGCTGGCTTGAGGAGAGATTGGTAGGGAACATACAACTCCTTGTCACTTTCCAAACCAAATACTCTCAACCTCACTTTTCAGGGTGGTGTGCAAAGTCCAGCGTACCTCATACAGCTTGATCTTAGAACTGCGCCTTCCATGGTAGCCATTTAGGACTAGGAAAGACAATAGTTCATATTGCCTGAAGGTTTCCAGGACTGGTGGAGCACTGAAGGGATGCTGAATATATAAAGAACTGGGATTGAGGAAGAAGCTACACACATTTTCCCACTTATCTGGAAGGGGTGGGCTCTGACAGCAGGGTTGGTGTTTAGGAGGATTAAGACAGTAGCCTGGTTCACAGATGAAATGCACACATAAAACAAAGTATTAACATTTCTTCCTATCCTAGTTATTCCTCCAAAGAAAGGAAGAGGGCTCTGCAGAGCCAGGAACATTGCTGCTCCTATCCCCTGCACAAAAGTGCCAGGCAACTTGCCCCCAAGAAGCAAGGGAAAGTGGTACTAGTAGTCCAGAGGGCAGCTCAGTTCCAAATTAAAATAAGCAAGTATACCTGATGAAGCAGAGCTTAGTGGGGGCTGACTAGGAAGAGTCAGTGGTGGGAAACAAACTCTCTATGTACAGCTCTTCCTGGAGCCGCAGGGAGAGATGGAAAAGGAAACCAGATGGGCCTGCAGGGTAGGGGTAAGGATGGGGTGGGGTCTTCAGGCCACAATTGAGTACAGGGGTGAGTGAAGAAGCGCAGCTCAGCAGGATAAACAAAAATAGTGAGGGCAAGTGAGCCAGGCATGGTTCCTTTCTAGCAAGAGCAGTCCAACAGCTCTGCCCTGTTCCAGACAGGCCACCTATCCCAGGGCAGGGCTGGGCATGTGGTGGGAGCATTAAAGAGATGGCACTATCTTTCCTGCTCTGTCCTGGCCCAGATTAGTGTGGGAAACAGCAGGCTTCTCTGCCCACCACTGGCTACCAGTGTCTTGAGTCCACCAACTCGGGTCGGAGGCTGAGTTTCTTGAGGCTCTCGTAGCCCACAACAATGACGATGGTGGAGGGGGTGGCTGAGATGATTCGTGCTGAAAGACCTTTCATGAGGCCCCAAGGCCCCTCTTCGGCCATCAGCTGTCTGAAGGTCAAGATGATAGAGCTTTTGCCTTCAACCTGGAAGAGTCAACACAGTGAAGGGCCAGTTTTCAGTTATAACATTTCTGCTTAGTGTCTGCTACTTTAGGCTCAAGTGGGGGAGAAATAGACTTGGGAGTCAGAAGGGCTAGACCTACTTCAAAGAGATGCACAGTGACTCAGTAAACTCTCTCTGGTGCCAGACCAGCTAGGTTTGAAGTCTTCTGCCCAGCTTGCTAACAGCATAACCCTAGGTAATTTACTTTTTTCCACCTCAGTTTCATCAAATAAAAAACAGTGCTAATAGTACCTAAGCTATGCCATGAGATTGTTCTGAGCAAAGAAAATAATACTTAGAAATGCCCACAACAGCACCTGGCAGACAGTAGATGTTTTTAACTGCTAGCGGCTAATATTGTTAGACATATTACAAGCTGTAAGTCTCAGGACTTTGGTGTTTCTCTCTGATCTCAGGAAGGTCAGATTCAATCCCCTCTAAAGTCTTCTGCAGTTCTATCAGACTGTGATTTTTTTTTTTTTTGACCAATCCTGGGGACTTGAACTCAGGGCCTAGGCCCTGTCCCTGAGTTTCTTTTTCTCAAGGCTAACTAGAGCCACAGTGCCACTTCAGCCTTTTCTGTTTATGTGGTACTGAGATATCAAACCCAGGATTTCATGCATGCTAGGTACACTCGACCACTGAGCCACATTCCCAGCCCCAGACTATGTTATTTATTTATTTATTGGTCATGGGGCCTGAACTCTGGGTCTAGGCGCTGTCCCTGAGCACTTCAGCTCAAGGGTAGCGCTCTACCACTTGAGCCACAGTGCCACTTCCTGCTTTTTCTGCTTATGTGGTGCTGAAGAATCAAACCCAAGGCTTCATGCATGCAGGGCAAGCACTTTACCACTGAGCCACCTTTCCAGCCCTATGTTAAAGGTTTTTTTTTTTTTTGTCTTCTCCCTTCTTTTCATCATAATGCAATGACCCCACCCTCCCGGACATCATTCTTTTTCTTTTTTGCTAGTCCTGGGTCTTGAACTCTGGGCATGGGCACTGTCCCAGGTAAGTGCAAGGGAAGCGCTCTACCACTTGAGCCACAGTGCCACTTCTGGTTTTCTGGTGGTTAACTGGAGACAAGAGACTCACAGACTTTCCTGCACAGGTTGGCTTTAAACCGATCTCCTCAGCTCTCAGCCTGAATAGCTAGGATTAGAGGTGTGAGCCACCTGCACTGGGTCCAGACATCTTTCTTGATCTATTTTTTCTAAGTTACCCAAGTCAGACATTAAAATCTCTCTTGCTCTCCACCTAAACCTTTATACCCTTTGTCTACTATACACAATTGCAAAGATTCTATGGACTGACGGACTATAATTTCAAGCCAGCGCCACCAAGAGTTTTATCAACCCATCTGTTGAGTATACCCAGTACCACCTGTAAAACCTATCAAGAACACTCATCTCTGTAGAAAGCCCACAGCCTGGTGGAAAAACCAGAGACTAATGAACTTACTTACAATTAATACTTCTAATACACTGGATACTGTGATGAAAGTGAACTATACAACTCATGAGTAGAGAGGGATTGAGGGAATAAGGGAAGGGAAGACACTGTATGAAAGGAATATACTCATTACCTGACTCATGTAATTATAATGCTTCTGTACATCACCTTTATAATAATAATAAACAATTAAACAACTAAAAAAACAAAAGTAGGCAGCAGTAGCGATACTTGTACCTGAAAAAAAAAGTACTTCTAATAATTAAAAACCTGCAAAGTGAGGAAAGGGTGGTTTCTAGCCTATGTTAATAGACTATAGAACAGGATTTCAGCTAAAGGCGGGAGGAAACTAGTATGAATTCTTAGAGCCTGGGCATACAATAGGTATAGGCATGCAAGGTAGCAGACAGAGTAAGAGAAGCAATCTAAGGAGATTCTAAGTGCTCAGCCAGTTTCTATGAATGGTAAACACAGGAAGGATTTGGATGACTAGGCTGGGCCAAAGAGCACAGAATATGGGCCTAAAGATCATGAAATCTAGTGGAGGAGGAGGCCAGTATTACCTGCACACGAGTTCGGATGACATCCATGGGATTGGTGATGATGGAGGCAGTGGCTGCAGCCATGGGCCCTGAGACGGCTTGAAAGACAATGTGAGGGCACTCCTTAGGACACAGGTACGAGAGCTGCTCTGGAATCCAGGGAAAGATAATGCCTCAAGACATGAGGAATCACCCATCTGCCCTCACTATGCCGGTTGCTTCTACCCATCAGCCTTTGCAACATGACAAGCCCTTGGTCCTTCACTACCTTGGAACTTTACACCTTTCTCTTCTCTGCTTCCACCTGCATCCAACAAAAATTCACATTATACATCTCAGGCCCTTTTTAGAAGTCATCTTGATGATTTCTTGGTTACTTAAACAAGACAAGATTCCTCTGGAGAAAGGAATTCCAAATCATTTTTGTTTGCAAACTTCTTTGATCTAATAGATAGAAAATCATTCCTGTTGGGAGCTGGTAGCTCATGTGTGTAATACCAGCTACTAAGGCGGTTGAGCTCTTGAGGACTGAGGCTTAAAACCAGCCAACACAGTAAAGTCCATGAGACTCTTATCTCCAGTTAACCACCAGAAAACTGAAAGTGGAGCTGTGGCTCAAAGTAAAAGCTCAGGCCCAGAGTTCCAGCCCCACAACTGACAAAAAAACAAACAAACAAACAAAAAGCTCAGGGACAGTAGCCAGGCCCTCAGTTCAAGCCCCATGATTGACAGGAAAAGAGAGGGAGAAAGAGAGAGAGAGAGAAAGAGAGAGAGGGAGGGAGGGAGGGAGGGAGGGGGAAAGAGGGGGGGAGGGAGGGAGAGAGGGGGAAGGAGGGAGAGAGAGAGAGAGAGAGAGAGAGCAAAGCTGTATAATTCTGGTAAGACCATTAAAACCATGATACTGATGGTCTCTGTGGAAGAGAACTGGGTGACTATAATGGATAAAGATCCTTTATCTACTTTTGCCTATCTTGTGAATTTATATATATATATATTTTTAATTAATTTATTTATTTGGGTCTGGTCATAGGGCCTGAACTCTGGGCCTGGGCGCTGTCCCTCAGGTCTTCAGCTCAAGGCTAGCACTCTACCACTTGAGCCACAGCAACACTTTCGGCTTATGGGGTGCTAAGGAATCGAGCCCAGGGCCTCATGCATGCAAGGCAAGCGCTCTACCACTGAGCCACCTTCCCAGCCCTTATTTATTTATTTGTGGGTCCTGGGACTTGAACTCTGGGCCTGGGTGCTGTCCCTGAGCATTTCAGCTCAAACAAGCTCTCTACCACTTGAGCCACAGTGCCACTTCCGGGTTTTCTGAGTGGTTTATTGGAGATCAGAATCTCTTGGACTTTCTTTCCCAGGGCTGGCTTGGAACCTTAATCCTCAGATCTCAGCTTCCTGAGTGACTAGGATTACAGGCCTGAGCCACTGGTACCTGGCTATCTTGTGAATTTTGGACTACATGAATGGCTGCTTTTGTGTGCTGGCTTGAAGTCAAGTTCTCCAGCTCTCACTTGACTTTTTTGTTGTTGTTGTTTTGGGTTTTTTTGTTGGTCCTAGGGCTTGAACTCTGGGCCTGGGTGCTGTCACTGAGCTCTTTAGCTCAAGGCAAGTGCGTTACCACTTGAGCCACAGCTCCACTTCTGGTTTTCTGGTGGTTAGTTGGAGATAAGTCTCATGGACTTACCTTGTCTGGGCTGGCTTTGAACTGTGATCCTCAGATCTCAGCCTCCTGAGCAGCTAGGATTACAGACATGAGCCACTGGCACCCAGCTTTCACTTGATGTTTTTGATCATGGCTAATTTTTTTTTTTTGGTCAGTCATAGGACTTGAACTCAGAGCATGAATGTTGTCTCTGAGCTTTTGTTCAAGGCTAGTGCTGTACCACTTTGAGCCATAGCTCCACTTCCAGTTTTCTGGTGGGTAATTGGAGAAGAGTCTCACGGGGGCTGGGAAGGTGGCTCAGTGGTAGAGTGCTTACCTTGCATGCATGAGCCCCTGGGTTTGATTCCTCAGCACCACATAAGCAGAAAAAGCTAGAAGTGGTGCTGTGGCTCAAGTGGTAGAGTGCTAGCCTTGAGCTGAAGAGCTGAGGGACAGCGCCTAGGCCTAGAGTTCAGGCCCCATGACTGGCAAAAAAAAAGCCTCACAGACTTTCCTGGCCCGATTGACTCTGAACCAAGACCATCAGATCTTAGCTAGGATTGGAGGTATGAGCCACCAATGCCCTAATGACTAATGTTTTATTATTTGAGCCACACTTCTATTTCTGATATTTTGGTGGCTAATTGGAAATAAAAGTCTTGAGAGGGGCTGAGAAGATGGCTCAGTGGAGGAGTGCTTGCCTTGCATGCATGAGGCCCTGGTTCAATTCCTTAGCACCACATAAGCAGAAAAAGCTGGCAGTGGCACTGTGGCTCAAGAGATAGAGCGCTAGCCTTGAGCTGAAGAGCTCAGGGACAGCGCCTAGGCCCAAAAGTTCAGGCCCCACGACCGACCAAAAAAAAAAAAAAAAGTCTTGAGATTGTCAAGTACCAGTGGCTCATGTCTATAAGAGATGAAGATCTCAGTTAGAAGCCAGCCTGGACAAGAATCATCTCCAATTAACAAGCAAAAAGCCAAAAGCAGAAGTGTGGGTCAAGTAGTAGAGCACCAGCCTTGAGTGATCACAGCCAACTGAGTAGTTAGGATTATAGGCATGAGCTACCAGGGCCTGGCAATATGTGAATGTTGTTATAAAAAAAATAACTCGTTTTAAGGTTGAAAGTCTTGGTGATGAAGCAATAGAAAAGGATCATTCTGCACATACACATCTGAAATACCACAGTGAAATCACTGGGTGCTTTACACACTTAAATAAATGACAGGAAAGCAAAACCAGATCTGTTGAGGAGGTGGAGCAGGGTGACTAATGTAGAGGATGAATGAGGATGAATATGTCAGATGTAGTTTATTGCACGTATGAAAATGAAACAATGAGCCAGGCGCCAGTGGCTCACGCCTATAATCCTAGCTAGTCAGGAGGCTGAGACCTGAGGACCATGGTTCAAAGCCAGCCCAGGCAAAGAAAGTCCATGAGAGTCATCTTCAATTAACCACAAGAAAAAAACCTCAAGTGGCACTGTGGCTTAAGTGGTAGAGTGCTTGCCTTGAGCTGCAAAGCTCAGGGACTGTGCCAAGGCCTAGAAGCCCCACAACTGACCAAAAAAAAAAAAAAGAAAGAAAAAAAGAAAAGAAAATGAAACAATGAAACCTGTTGAAATTGTTTTAAGAGGGGAGTGGGGTAAGGGAGAGTAAGAAGGGATAAGATTGATTAGAATACATTGTATACATGTGTGGAAATGTAATAATGAAACTTGCCTTGTATAAATTAATGTATGCTAATAAAAGTAAAATGAAAGTAATCCCACAGTGAGACTACAAGGTAGTCATGGAAGTCCTTTCCAAGGAAGTCAAGTTTAGGCAAAGACCTGAAGGTAGAAGTCTAAGTCCTATAGATCTGTGGAAAGAACTTTCCAAGTACAGGGTCCCATACAAAGATCCTGAGGATACTTGAGCACACCTCAAGTGTTCTAGGGACAGCAAATCCAGTACCTTGGAGCAGAACAATAATGCTAAATGAGATCCAAAAGGTAAGCCATTGAGGGCCTGAGACCATTATAAGGATTTACGCTTGACTTTGAGTAAAATGGGATGTAAAACTGATTCAGGGATTAGAAGAGTGGCCTAAGTGGTAGCCATGCCTGACCAGCAAGGTAGAGGCTTTTCAAACCCCAGTACTGGAAGAAAACAAAGACTCATAATTTCAAAGATTCCCTCTCAGTTTTCTCTATAGCCAGTCACCATTCCTTCAACAGTTTTTTGTCTCATGTGCCTAATTTTGGTGATTGATTGAAGTAAGGGAGTGGGTTGGCAGGGAGAAATCAGGCTACAAAGTTCCAGCTGGCAAAGAAGAATTACTTCAGCTCTAGTAGAGTCACCTCTTCTCCAGTTTCTAACAGCTTTCCTCCTCAGTCAGCGTGTAAACAGAAACAAAGTAAACTAGTAACTGGGCTCCTTGGTATCTTGTTTCTCCTACTAAGAAAACATTTTATAATCATTAGAATGCACATCAGGACTAGCATTGCTGCCTCCTTGGACTGGTGTGCACTTGCCTTATTCACATCCTAATTATACACAGCATCACTTTTCTTTGGCTTACAGAAAAGATGAAAACACAAAGGCAAGGGTAAGTCTTGTCAGGTACGGTAATTCATTATCTGTAATCTTAGCACTTGGGAGGTTTAGGCATGATGACAAGTTTGAGCCCAGCCTGGGCTACATAGCAAGGCACTGTCAAAATGGTAGGAAAAAGAGTCCAAGTCTTTCCTTTATTACTCATTCAACAAATGTTTACTGAGTACCCATTATCTACAAGGCAAAAGATAAACACATGCCAACTTAGCTTAAGTCCCTTCTGACTTTGTAGGAATACTGACTTAGTATTTACTAGATGCTAAGCAGTGTGATAAATACTATTCATAAAACTGAGAAACAAGACAAGCTCATGCCTGTAATCCTAGCTACTCAAGAGGCTGAGATCTGAGGATCATGGTTCAAAGCCAGCCGGGGCAGGAAAGTCCTGAAACTCTAATCTCCAATAAACCACCAGAAAACCAGAAATGGCACTGTGGCTGAAGTGGTAGAGTGCTAGCATTGAGCTGAAGAGCTGAGGGACAGGGCCCAGGCCTAGAGTTCAAGCCCCACAACCAAAAAACAAAACAAAACAAAAAAACAAAACAAAACAAAAAAAAACCTGAGAAACAGTGGGAGCCTGGTGGCTCATGCCTGTAATTCTAGCTATTCAGGATGCTGAGATCTGAAGATCATGGTTTAAAGCCAGCCGGGGCAGAAAAATCTGTGAGACTTACCTCCAACTAATTCCCAGAAAACTGGGAATGGTGCTGTGGCTCAAAGTGGTAGAGTGCTAACCTGGAGGGGGAAAAATAACTCAGGGATGGAACTCCATGTCCTAAGCCTCACTACCAAAAAAAAAATAAAAAGAAAAAAGGCAACAAAACTAAGAAACAAGCAGGGCATGGTGGTACACACCTATAATCCCAGTACTCCAGAGGCGAAGGTAGGAATGATTGATCACCAGGTTTATGGCAAGATGGGGTATATTTTTTAGATCCTGTCTCAAAATCAACAAAAATGATCTGGGGATATAGCTCACTGGAAGAGTGCTTGCCTATCCAAGACACTGTGTTTGAACCCCAGCACTTCAAAAAAAATTTTAATTAATTAAAAAACCAGAAATGCTTCATTAGGCATGCAGTCTAAAAAGCTGGAAGGGGCTGGGAAGGTGGCTGGGTGGTAGAGTGCTTGCCTTGCATGTATGAAGCCCTGGGTTTGATTCCTCAGCACCACATTAACATAACAAGGCCAGAAGTGGCGTTGTGGTTCAAGTGGTAGAGTGCTAGCCATGAGCAAGAGAAGCTCAGGGACAGCACCTAGGTCCTGAGTTCAAGTACCAGGACTGGCAAAAAAAAAAAAGAGGGGGGGATGGGAAGGTGGCTCAGTAGTACAGTGCTTGCTTTGCATGCACGAGGCCCTGGGTTCGATGCCTTAGCACCACATAAGCAGAAAAATCCGAAAGTGGCGCTGTGGCTCAAGTGGTAGAATGCTAGCCTTAGCCTTGAGCTGAACAGCTGAGAGATGGTGCCCAGGCCTAGAGTTCAGGCCCCATGACAGAAAAAAAAAAGAGCTCAGGAACAGCACACAGGCCCTGAGTTGGAGCCCCTGAGTTGGGGGTAAAAATAATTGTAAATTAAGACAAGGTACAAAAATAGAAAGCAGAGAAAACATGCTTTCTAATAGAGCAAAGGAGTTATTTTTGTAAAGGTGATAATGAATAGAAGAAGCTTGAGACATGAAAGGAACCAGACACACAAAGAATAGGAGAGGGGCTGGGAAGGTGGCTCAGTGGTAGAGCGCTTGCCTTGCATGCATGAGGCCCTGGGTTCGATTCCTCAGCACCACATAAGCAAAAAGAAAAAAGCTGGAAGTGGCACTGTGGCTCAAGTGGTAGAGTGCTAGACTTGAGCTGAAGAGCTGAGGGACAGCGCCCAGGCCCAGAGTTCAGGCCCCATGACCGGACCCTCCCCCCCCCAAAAAAAAGAAAAAAAAAAGAGTAGGAGAAAAGATATCCCGGATGAGCTCTACTACTGAACTACATACACAAATTCAGGTTTAAAAAAGTGATACAGCCAGGCACTGGTAGCTCATGTCTGTAATTCTAGTTTATTCAGGAGGCTAAGATCTGAGGATCAGGATCCAAAGCCAGGCCAGGCAGTAAAGTCTGTGAGACTCTCATCTCCAGTTAACCACCAAAAAAGCCAGAAGTGGAGCTATGGCTGAAGTGGTAGAGCACTATCCTTGAGTACAAAAGCTCAAAGACATTGCCCAGGCCCTGCACAAACACAAAAGATCAATCTACTAGGGACATATGAAATACATGGAGAAGAAGAGAACTTAGAATAGCTAGAAAGCTGGTGCAAAGGTCAGGAGGATGGTGATATAAACATGATTTTCAGAAAAGGCAATAGGAATGGAGAAGCAGTTGTAAGAAATATTCTAATCCCTAGGACTAGCTATGGGATAAGGAAGAACAGTTCCTAGAGCTTCAATCTTAGCAATCTGGAGAAAAATAAGGCTACACTGACAGCTGAAAGTAAGTCAGAGGAACCAGCTTGGGATGAATACTTAACTGCATAAAAATCTCAGATGCAAAGCTGGGTGCCGGTGGCTCACACCTGTAATCCTAGCTACTCAGTAGGCTGAGATCTGAGGATCATGGTTCAAAGCCAGTCTGAGCAGGAAAGTTCATGAGCCTCTTATCTCCAATAAACCATTAGAAAACCAGAAGTGGCGCTGTGGCTCAAGTGGTAAAGTGCTCGCCTTGAGCTGAAGAGTGCAGGGACAGTGCCCAAGCCCAGAGTTCAAGCCCCACAACCAACAAGACAAAATAAATAAATAAAATCTCAGATGCAAACCAGGTACTGATGGCTCAAGTCTGTATGTAATTCTTGTTACTTAGAAGACTGAAATCTAGAGGACCATGGTTCAAAGCCTGCCTGGGCAGAAAATTCCTCAAGACTCTATATCCAATTAACCATCAAAATGCCATATTGAAAGTGTGACTCAAGTGGTAGAATGCCAGTGTTAAGCAAACAAGCTGAGAGAAAGTTTAAGGCTCTGAGTTCAAGCTCCAGTAGCAAGGCTGGGAAGGTGGCTAAGTGGTAGAGTGCTTGCCCTGCATGCATGAGACCCTGGGTTCGATTTCTTAGCACCATATAAACAGAAAAGGCCGAAGTAGCACTGTGGCTCAAGTGGTAGAGCTCTAGCCTTGAGCTGAAGGACAGTGCCCAGGCAAAAAAGGAAAAGAAAAGAAAAGAAAAAAAAAAAAGCAAGCTCCAGTACCAACACACACACACCATAGAAATATAGATATAAGCTTGGTATGGCAAGTACATACCTATAATCCCAGCATTGGGGAGGCTGAAGCAAGAAAATCATAATTTGATGCCAGTCTGGGCTACATATCAAATTTCATCAAAAATAGGCTGGGTGCCAGTGGCTCACAACTATTATCCTAGCTATTCAGGTGGCTGACATCTGAGGATCAAGGTTTAAAGCCATCCCATGCAGGAAAGGCCATGAGACTCTTACCTCCAATTAACCACCAGAAAAACAGAAGTGGCACTGTGGCTCAAGTGGTAGCCTTGAGCTGAAGAGATCAGGGAAAGCACCCAGGCCCAGAGTTCAAGGCCCATGACTGACCCCCGCCCCCACCCCCCAAAAAAAAAAGAGTATTATCTTTTGCTGTGTACTAGTAGCTCATGCCTATAATCCTAGCCACTTAGGAAGCTGAGACAGTGTTCCAAGCGAGCAGGGGTACAAATATCCATGAGACTCTTATCTCAAATTAACCACCAAAAAGCCAGAAGTGAAGGTGTGGTTCAAATGCTATCCCTGAGTGAAAGTGAGGGGGACAGCATCCAGACTCTGAGTTCAAACTGAAGGAAGGGAGGGAGGGAGATAGGAAGGAAAGGAAGGAGAGAAGGGGAAAAAAAAGATTGCTTTTGACCTAGTGATCTCATTTTGGAAAATATTAAAGGAGTAGACTATCTAATCAACAAAGCTACATTATAGGAATGAGGATGTTCTAGCTTATTTTTTACCGGTCCTTGGGCCTGAACTGAGGGCCGTGGTGCTGTCCCTCAGCTCTTCAGCTCAAGGTTAGTGCTCTACCACTTGAGCTACAGTGCCACTTCTGGTTTTCTAGTGGTTTATTGGAGATAAGAGTCTCACGGACTTTCCTGCTGGGCTGGCTTTGAACCATGATCCTCAGATATTAGCCTCCTGAGTAGCTAGGATCACAGGTGTGAGCCACCCGTACTCAGCCCACATTTTTTTTTTTTTAAACTGGTCTTGAGGCTTGAACTCTAAGCCTGGGTGTTATCCCTGAGCCAATTTGTGCTCAAGTCTCACAATCTACCACTTGAGCCACAGTACCACTTCTGCTTTTTCTGAGTAGTTAATTGGAGGTAAGAGTCTTACAGACTTTCCTGCTCAGGCTGGTTTCAAACTACATTCCTCAGATCTTAAGCCTCCTGGATTACAGGTGTGAGCCAATAGCACCCAACTAATTCACAATTTGAGTTTAACAATGCTAATGAAAAATAGCTAACTCAAAAAAGCTCACTAGAAGCTGGGCACCCGTGGCTCACGCCTGTAATCCTAGCTACTCAGGAGGCTGAGATCTGAGGATCATGGTTCAAAGCCAGCCTGGGCAGGAAAGTCCATGAAACTCTTACCTCCAATTAACCACTGGAAAACCAGAAGTGGCGCTGTAGCTCAAGTGGTAGAACGCTTGCCTTGAGCTGAAGAGTGCAGGGACAGCACTCAGGCCCAGAGTTCAAGTCCCATAACTGACAACAACAAAAAAAAAAGATCACTGGAAAGGCTGTGAGAGTGTGAGGGAAGAGGTGGCAGTGTCCAAAAAGAAATATATTCTTTAGTGGACTGGGAATGTGGTTCAGTGGTACAGTGCTTGTCTAGCATGAATGAAGCCCTGGGCTCAATTCCTTAGTACCACAGCAGCAGAAAAAGCTGGAAGGGGCTCTATGGCTCAAGTGGTAGAGTGCTAGCCTTGAGCAAAAGCAGCTCAGGGAATAGTGCATAGGCCCTGAGTTCAAACCCCAGGACTGGCAAAAAAGAAAAAAAGAAATATACTCTTTTGCTGACTTACCTAACTGCAACCCAGCTGTAAATTACCTTTATTTTTTATTTTAATTTTTGGTTGGTTGTGGTGCTTTAACTCTGGGCCTGGACGCTGTCCCTCAGCTCTTCAGCTCAAAGCAAGAGCTCTACCACTTAAGCCACAGTGCCACTTCCAGTTTTCTGGTGGTTAATTGGAGATAAGAGTCTCACAGACTTTCCTGCCCAGGCTGGCTTTAAACAGTGATACTCAGAGCTCAGCTTCCTAAGTAGCTAGGATTATAGGTGTAAGCCACCAGCGTCTGGCTATATTACCTTTATAATAACAATAAAAACTTTTTAAACGTTCACTATTATTCATCAATTTTATCTTAAAGCCCTAAATATTCCATTCCTTAGAGTCTCCCTTACTTTCTTATTCTCTACCAATATCCTGCTAAAGCACATTGATTCCAGTGCATATATAGTATACCCTTTTCCTGTATTTACCTACTCACTGTTCTGATCCTCCTCACTATATAATAAGCTTCTCAAAGGCAAGAACCATGTCTTATTCTCCTTTGAATTCAATGTTTACTGAGTGGTCCATTCCCCCATTAAATCTCACTTCCATTCCAACATGCCCAGAGCACCAGTATTTCAGCAACCTCAGTACTGCTGCTGATGCTCCTGCTTACCTGCATAGAAGTGATAAAAGGGCCACCAGACGGCACTGTTTGGGATATAGGTAAGCAGTGATGCCACATAGCCTCGGTAGAAGCCTCGAAGCCCATCAGCCCGCAGGATCTGCCTGATGATGTCTTTAGTTTGGCCAAAAGCAATAACCCCTTGTCCCTTTGGGTTCCCACGCACCTGGAAGCGGCCTAGTTTTTCACCCTTGCGCTGCATCATCAGGTGCTGGGAGACTACATCAATGGGCACGGTGATGCTCTGGGCCACCAAGGAAGCTGAGCCACCAGCCACGAGTGATTTGACTGTGTTGCTCTGGCTATAGTCAGACACAAATTTTCGAGTGAGCTCATAGGTAGTAACATAACATTGGCCGGAGATAAGTGTGAAGGTATTGACCAGGAACCCCCGATATAGGCCTGTCACGCCATCTGCACGAAGGATCTTGATGAAGGCATCAAAGGTCCCATGGTAGAGGCTCTTGCCCTTCTGAACCTGCAGCCGGGTGCGAATGAGGGTGAATGGGTACACACTAACACGGATCATCATTGTCATTGCCACACCAAACACATAGAACTTCTTCTTGTCCAGATGTTCCCACTCAATGATTTGGATGTTGCGCTTGTCCTCCATTGTGCCTGAAGACCTGGGATTTGAGCAGAGTGGAGGGATGTGAGGAAGAAGGTAAGAACTTTGTATCTTTGTGTCCTGACTAGGCCTGAAGATCCCTTCTGAGTTAGCCTGGCTCTGTCCATCACAGATCAAGAACCCTTCTGCCCTATTCTGTGTCTTTGCCTAGTCCTTTATAATTCAGATCCACTCCTCCAGAAATCATTCCTCACCACAGTAACTTTGGTGACTCCATTCATCTGAGTTCCCAACCCTAGCTTACAGGATCCTGAACTCTGTCTCTGCTTGGGCCATGGTGTCACTGTCCCAGAAGGGATCACTCTCCTTATCTGGCTTATCAAGGCAGAGCTCCAGGATACTATAAGCAAATCAACTGCCTAGAAGGATGTACCACCATAAGTGGGCTGAAAGGGAGGGCTGTAGTTCTGATGCTCTTAGGTTCCAGAGGGGGCACAACTTTTGGGCTTTTGTCTTCAGCAGGGCCCGTTTACTATTATTTACTACCCGAGGCATTTTATTTTACGTATGGTTTCTAATGCTACTCCGAGCTCCCAACCCACACTCATTGCACTGTACATTCTCTCCAATCTGCATTCGAGACGTGGGGAGGAGTACAAGGCACTCCTCCAATTGCCACCGCCACCCCCACCATCCTCCAGTGAAAGCAGTGGTAAAGTCAGGAACAGGACAAAGATCAGAGTCCTCTTTGGTTATTAGATAATTCACTGTAGAAAGTGAAAAGATCCACCTGAGAGTTTCCCTGAAGAGTCTGGAGAATTTGCTATAGGGTGGATCACATGTCTGACCCAAGGCTCTCAACTCTAAGCAAACAACTACAAGCTCGGTCCTTGAGAATGAAGGTGAGAAGTGATACAGAAGACACATTCTGCCCTTTGAAACGTCATGGTCTGTTCAAGGATACAAGGGATCTCTCTGGGAAACAGATTTGAAATATACAGGGGGAAAGAAAAAAGGGAAAATCAATGTTAATGTATTACACATGTTATGTTTATCCATTGCCTAGAACTGGCACACACCTTTATTCATAGCTGAGGCAGGAGGATGGCAAGTTCAAGTCAGGCTGAGCTACAACACAGGAGCTCCTAAGTTAAGAAATGTGAAATGGTAAGATATCACGTTAGACATACACTTGGTGGTAATGCTGTGTGCTCCAGTGTAGCCTCCCCTTGTTCTGTGGGATATTGGAAATTTTAACCGACAGGGAAAGAGAGAAGGAAGGCAGGGTTCCCAGGCTTTGAGAAAAACGCCTTAGGGCTTTTAAAGGACATGGCCCCAGCACAGGGACAACTCTACACAAAAGCAATTTCTGTGGCAAATCTTTTAGCATATGTCTGATTATAGTCTATCCCCAACTACTTTCCTCAACCCCAAGTCCCAATTTAAGTTCATAGAGCCTTTGTTACAAGGTAACTGTTCTTGGTTTACTGAGAAAGTCAGTAGGGAATGAAAGTTGGCTTTTTGGACAGGAATCCCTAAGTTGGTCTGTATCAATTTCATTAAAGTATAGACTGCCCAGGAAGTGGTACTGTGGCTCAAGTGGTAGAGCACTCGCCTTGAGCTGAAGAGCTGAGGGACAGCGCCCAGGCCCAGAGTTCAAGCCCCACACCAACAATAACAACAAAAAAAGCCGGAAGTAGAGGTGTGGCTGAAGTGGTAGACTGCCCATAGTACAAACTGAATCCTTAACAGCTGAGTTATGGATGGGGCAGGCACATGGAATTAATTATACATGCAGCCTTGGAGGACAAAGCAATTTGAATGGAGGAGGAATACATGCAAACAATGAAAAGCAGAGAAAAGTGGCTTAGAAATGAGAAAACAGTCAATTGGGTTTGCTAGAATGGAAAATCTAGACTGTGGAAAATGAGCAGGAGGTAGAGTTTACAGGCAAGAGAACTTCTGGAACATGGATATGTCATTGCTGTGGGCAAAAGTGGCTCCCAGCCTCAGCACAAGACACCCAGAAAGACCAGTAGGGCAATCTTCTCTGAACCCTTCAAAAAGAGGTGGTCACTGTCCCTCCTCCCTACAAGGTGTTTAGAATCAGAGTATCAAAGTCATATTTCTAACACTACTGAGAAGTGAGGATATATAGATTTACCTAATTCCCACTGCCTCATGCAATCCTTATAACTTAACCTGAGCATAAACACTTCTGATAAATGAGGCCAGATAGGTTAAATGTTACAGCTCCAAAATCATGCAGCTGGTCAGTGGCAGAGGCCAGATCGAAGCCAAAACGTTTCCACTCAGTCATGCCTTCTGCCCTATGGGAGTTGAAGAGTCCAATACAAATTATTTTGTTGAACTGGAAACCAAGCCATTCCTACCAGTGGAAGGCTTTCATAACTTTCATAATTGCATGTCACCCAGGGGTTAAGCATAGCTGCTAGCCATGCAAATGCCCTTGGACTTCCCTCAGTCTTATTTCAAAGAAAGTAAAGTGTTGCCTATGCTACACCAATGTGCTTGTGGAGTGACTCTGAGTGGCTGGGCTGGCATGTTGTCACCACAGGACAAATTCAGTGAGGCTCAAGCAGGCAGGATTCCAGCTGGGCATGTGTGAACTGCATGCAATTCAGGGCAGAAGGGCATAGCCACATAGGATTCTGTTCTAGGTAGGTCATTGTGTGTATGTACAGGGCCGGGGGGGGAGGTCCATGTGCTAGTCCTACAGCTTGAACTCAGGGCCTGGGCACTGTCCCTGAACTTTTGTGCTCAAGGACAGTGTTATACCAACCAAGCTACAACTTCATTCCTGTCCTTTTTGATGGTTAACTGGAGACTTTCCTGCTGGGACTGGCTCTGAACCACAATCCTCATCAGCTCTCAGCTTCCTGAGTAACTATGATTTACAGACATGAGCTACCAATGCCCAGTTAGGTCATGGTTTTCATGGGTATCTTCTCAGCTTTTCAGGCTGATCCAGCATCTCCTAATGAAAAACTCATTGCTCTCTTTCTGCACCTGTCTCCATCTCTCACATGTGCCAGTCTATATTTAAAATTCCCAAAAGGTAGCAAGGATTTTGTAAAATAGATAACTCCTCTTGTTAGGATACCAGAAGAAACCATTAAGGGTCACATCTCCAAAAATAAGTCACTCGCCTGGGAATGTGGCTTAGTGGTAGAGTGTTTGCCTAGCATACATGAAGCCCTAGGTTCAATTCCAAAGTACCACATAAACAGAAAGAGCTAGAGGTGGCGCTGTAGCTCAAGTCTTAGAGTGCTAACCTTGAGCAAAGACAGGCTCAGGCCATGAGTTCAGCCCCAGGACTGACAAAAATAAAAACACCAAACAAACAAACAAAAACAATAAGCCATTAAGCCGAGTGCTAGTGGCTGTAATCCTAGCTACTCTGAGGATCGTGGTTCAAAGCCAGCCCAGGCAGGAAAGTCCATGAGACTATTATCTCCAATTAACCACCAGAAAACTGGAAGTAGAGCTGTGGTTCAAGTGGTAGAGCACTAGCCTTGAGCTGAAGAGCTCAGGGACAGTACCCAGGCCCAGAGTTCAAGCCCCACAACCAACCAAAAAGAAAAAAAAGCCACTAGTGAGAAGGGTAAAAGGTTGTAGAACCTACCCCTCTGTTCCTCTGAAAGGGGGAGGTTGCTTTCATAAAGTGGGATCTCAACCTGTTTTGTTGCCATATAGCTTCCAAACTTCCTCCTGAAATATTGAAACCAGTTCATCTTGTTTTACCCTCTAGAAAGTCCTCTATCTAGAAAAGTGTGGGCAAACTTCCTTCAGCATTCACTTCTCCCTCTTTCCGGGGCCTTTTTCAGGCTACCATTCACAGCTACAATTCTAGCTTTTCTCCCACTTTTTACTCTACCACTTGAGCCACAGTGCCACTTCCAGTTTTCTGGTGGTTAATTGGAGATGAGAGTCTCACAAATTTTCCTGCCTGGGCTGGCTTTGAAGAGTGATCCTCAGACCTCAGCCTCCTGAGTAGCTAGGATTACAGGCGTGAGCCACCGGCGCCCAGCTTCTCCCACTTTTTATGCTGCTTAGGCACAAATGTTTAAGTGCTTCCTGTGAAGACTGAACAGAGGCCCCAAAAGCATATTATCCTGAATTTTTCAAATGAAATGTCAGAGGTGGAGCCTACTACTGAAAGGAAGGAAGGAAGGAAGGAAGGAAGGAAGGAAGGAAGGAAGGAAGGAAGGAAGAAGGAAGGAAGGAAGAAGGAAGGAAGGAAGGAAGGAAGGAAAATAGAATTTCAGGCTGCACTTTAGACCTTGTTAATAAGAGTTGACAATTTAACAAGATCTCTAGGTGATTTATATGCATATGAAAAAAGCACTGCTTTAACTATAAGGATTATCTGCATTATAACTTTATAACTATTCTAGAACTCCAGGACCATTCTGACTAGATCAGAAGTTGCCTAACTGCATACTCTCTTGTCACTAGAACTGGGCACAATGATGAACATTCTCTCCCCGTGCCCCCCCCCTTCAAACACTCCTACCAAATCAAATCACCTTATCCAACTCCTGAAGAGACATTCAAGGGTCCCTATTTCTCAGATGGAAGAGGGAATAACAGTACCCTCTATTCTATCCTCCTTACCTCATCCGGATCAAGGCTCTGCATCCTAGGAGCTTAATCCATATGAACAGGAATATATATGCATGTTTGCCCAACTGTCCTACTGTGTATATAGTGCCCTAAGCTAGCCCCAGTGATGTCTCCGACCCTTCCTTTAATCTCCCTCCGATATGGTGAGATTCCCACCCAGCTTTCCCTGCTTTTCCACAGGTATCCACGTGATCTCTCACTCATCACAGACACATCACAATCCTCTCCACGTGACACCCTCCTTTATGTAGCTCCAATCTGGCACCCGCGCGGATTCCTCTGGGTCCTCGAAGAAGCCCCTAACTGTGCTTCTGTCATTGTCAGCAAATCTCATGCTCCTCTGCCAGGAAAAGATGTCTTGCCAGACCTGTCCTTCATTTCCAAAATTACAGGCACCGCAACCCCGCAGACGTCCGCTGCCTCCTTGACAAGTCCGAGTGTTGAGAGGCATTACAGGCTTCAAATACCCTTGGCTAATATGACACAGCTATAGTTTCCTTACCTTCTCAGACCCAGGAGGTTCCACTGAGTCTGAGGAGAACTCCAAGCCGAAACTTCTAGGCCGCAGCTCCTGGTACACCCTCCATTCCAGGCGACAGCCGGCTTCGGGTCGCATCTTCCTCCATCTCGCCAGAGATGCCAGTGCTGCCGGAACCGGAAAATAGGACGCTGTCATTCCCGCCCCTCAAGGGGTGAGAATTGGCTTGGAGTAATTCAACCAATGGTGTTCTGAGTCGTTCAGCCTTCCCCGATATTGAAGCGATGATAGGCGGAACGCATGGCCATCTTGGATTAGGGCAGTAGCCACGCCTTCTGAAGCCTCACTCTCTAAGGAGCATGCGTGAGCTTCTGGGCTGTTTCTAATTTGTGGACAAGGATTTAACCGAGTACTTTTTGAAGTAATGTGAAACTCCGGTTTTTAATAGGTGACCTTGTGTTTGAATATTTGTGCTAAGAGCCAATCTTTATTTTTCGTGGTGGTCTTTGAACTCGGGGCACTGTCTTTGACCTTTTTTTTGCTCAGGGATAGCGTCCTACCACTACGACCAAGCTCCACTTCCAGCTTTTTGGTGATTGACCAGAATGAATCTCTTAGATTTTCCTGCCTCAGTTGGCTTTCAGAAAGGATCCTCAGATCTGAGCCGCCTCAGTTACAGGTTTAAGTCACCGGAGCTCAGCCTCAGATCTAATAATTAGGGCTGAATACTCGCCCCTCGCCCCAAGAAAAGAAAGAAAACTTTTAAACTTTGTATTTATATGTGTAAAAACACACAACTAGCCAGGCACTGGGCACAGGACACTCACACCTGTAATCCTAGCAACCCAGGAGGCTGAGATTTGAGGATCACAGTTCAAAGCCAATTCGGGCTGAAAAGTCCCCATGAGACTTTTATCTTGGATTAACCACCAAATAACCAGAAGTGGAGCTGTGACTCAAAGTGATAGAGCACTAGCCAGAAGGAGGAAAGAGATAGCACCCATGTCCTGAGTTCAAGCCACATAATGGGGAAAAAAATTCATAAAGACAAACAGAGGTTAAAGAACAAGAGTGAAGACTGAAGTTTAACAGCTTTAGAATAAGACATTCTGGAAGTGGAGAAAAAAAGATATCAAAGATTCTCATCCAGCTCTGAAACAGGTCATACCTATATAAAGATTTCAAATTCTTACTCTATATTTCCAGTCTCTTCTCCTCATATTCCCCTTGCATTAACCTTGCACTTAAAATTACCATTCCTGAAACCAGGCCTTACTATGTGCCCTAGGCTGACCTCTAATTCACAAATCTATCTCAGCCACATAAGTGCAGAATTAGAGGTATGAGTCACCATGCAAATACAAGTATGTAACTTATTATGGTTTTAAATTTTTATTGAAATATACTAATTCTACGTATTAATGATGTGCAATGTAATGTGATACTGAAGACAAAAGTTTAAAGAAAATTAAACCTATCACATAATTATCATCCTGAAGAAATATAAACCACATTGCATCCAAAGGAACATCGTACACACTGCAAGAAAGGCATCTTTTCTGTCAAAGTAGTAGTTCCTGCTTTCTGATAATTTTTTTTTTTTTCAAGAAGCAACGGTAAAGTAACCGGAATGTGAAGTGAGCAGAAAGGGAGTAAATCATTGGGATGGGGAGTGTGTGTGTGTAGCATGAAGAGAAGGAGGCAGGCAGGCTGGCGGGTAGTGTGTCGGTGTGTGGGGCAGAGAGGAGAGGGTGTTTGTGTGCGTGGCGCGTGTTGTGTGTTGTGTGTTGTGTTTGTGGTGAAGGAGGTGGGAGAGGAGGGTAGTTCGCGGGAAAAGAAAGGGTTGGAAAGGAGAAGCGTGAGGTAAGGTGCGAAAAGGTGTAGCCCAGGCTGGTCTCGAACTCGTGATCCTCCTGCCTCATCCTCCTCGTTGATTACCGGCGTGCGCCACCACGGCCGGCGACAGCCGCCGCCGACAAACGCCTCCTTGAGCCTGCTGACGCGCACTCCGCCCGCCCAG